TCTTGCTTTGCAGTTCAGGCTGGCCTTGAGCTCACTTTGTATCCCAAGCTGGTCTTGAACTTGCAACCATCCTCCTACCTCAGTCTCCCAAGTGCTGGGATTACGGGCCTGTGCCACCACACCCAGCTCAAAGAAAATATTATACAAACCTCAGTAATCTCTTTTCCTATTCTCCCAAATCGCAGGTCACCAATAATACATGGTAAGCTGGAAAACACAATATCCTCAGCTCCCCCACCACCTGAACACTCACCAAATAATTGTAACATCAAGAGTTATTAACTGCCTCTGTGGAATTATTAGCTGAATTTAAACTACAGGTCATAAAAAATTTTCAAAACAGGAAAAAACCCCAATCAAATAACAGCCTTTGATGAAAGTACATAATAAAAGGTCATCTTTGTCAAACAAAACTCAAGGTCTCTCACTTCATTAAACAGTAAAAGTAAACACATTTACCTGGTACAAGAAGTATTTAGGTTCTGATCAACCTAGAAAAACATTTTACTAGAGTCAATGGTTAGCTATGAAAGTATTTATAAGTGATTTTTCTTTTTCTGATAATTTGTGAAATTAATGCAGATAAGTTAGTTTTAAAAATCAAGAAATAGTAAAAGACAATCAAGGTTATAATAAAAAATATTTGCCACAAAGCTAAGTGGCAAGCTTATCTATATATTATAAACAAAATAATTGAAATGTTACTGCTTACAGAATTGAAACATAGATCACATATGTAACTGAAAATTTTTTCCTAGCCACATTTTTAAAAAGTAAAAATAGGTGAAATGAATATAACAATGTTTTATTTGGCCAATATATTCAAATAATTATTTCAACATGTAATTGATACTAAAGAATTAACAACAGTTTACATTTTATATGAAGTCTTTAAAATCTGTGTTTTATAAATAAATTCTACTGTGTATATTTAAATTACACAACATAATGCTATAGGATCCAGAGTATATGTTTCGACAAGACAGTAGTGGTGAACCGTATGGCAAAACTGCTACAGCAGGCTGTCTGTATCACTGAAAGCTTGAAAAGTTTGCCATCACTAATCTAGGAAATCAACCTATCCATCATCTCACATAGCTGCTCCTTATTTCCTGTGTAGCAAAAGCACCTAAAATCTACTCACTTTCCAGGAATCCCAAGTAGCACACAACTGTAGCAACTAGAGTCCTCTTTCAAGTACACGCTCGCCAGTTGTGCTCCTCCTGCGTATTTGTGATTTTGCACCTCTCACCTCCATCTCCCCACATCCTCCATCTCACTCCAGTCATCACTGTTCTATTCTCTCTGGATAGCTGACCATTTTTTGTGTTTTCTGGTGTTTTGTTCTGTTTGCTTTTTTAATCCCATAGATGCGTGAAATGACGCACTACTTTTCCTCCTGTGCCTGGCTTACGTAGCATGACGGCCTCCACATATATCCCCGTGTGGAAAACAGCAGGATCTTCCTTCAAACAAAGACACACACAACTGTGTCGACACAGCTTCTCAGGCATTCACCTGCTGCTGGGGCTGTGCCTGTGTCGGCAATACTGCTACTAATGCTGCAATGAACACGGAAGTGCAGCTAGCTTCAGAAGGCTGGGGGCCTGGCCCTAGCTCAATCCTTTAAGTGGCTGCTTCCACAAAGCTGTCAGCCTCAGGTTGCTGTAGTTCGATCCCCACAACCCTCCATGAAGGCATTTGAGGACCAAATAAAAAAAAAAATCCTTATTCCAGAAGGCGGCGATTTCCTCTGGGTACATGCCCAGGAGAGGGACTGGGGGTCACATGGTGCGTGCATTTAACTTATTGAGAAACTTCCATGCCGTTTTCCAAAGTGAGGGCACCCACCTACATTCCCACCAAGGGCAAACAAGAGTTTCCTGTTCCCCACACAAAGACTTTTGGCTTTTATCTTTCACACTGTCTTACACTTTTCCTTTTTTTTTACGCTTTTCTTTTGTGAATGTCCTATTGTATTTTATCCTCTACAGCACCACTCTGAATGCACCTAATCTCTGCTGTATTTATTTTATCATGCTAATTTCATTGTGGACTTTTTAATAATCTCATTCTCTTTTATGGAAGGAAGGAGGGCTTATATTCTTCCCATGCACTTATCATTTCAAAGAATGAAAAAGTACGTTAAAACAACCAAAAATAGTTGTTTTAATGTACTTTTTCACATATTTCAATTAAAAAAAAAAAAAAGAATGCTGTACAATACTTGGACCATTGTACTCTATGATTTTTATAAAGCAAGCACACAAGGCTTACCTTTACATGTACATGCCCTGGGCAGAAGAAACACACATGGCCTAATGGTTATTAAAAGTTCAGATAAAAAGCTAGACATACATTCAGAAACTAGCATTCAAAACATCCCTCTAAACTAGGTGTGGTACAGGCTGTAATCCCAATACTCAGGAGGGTGAGACAGCAGGACTGTTGTAAATTCAAGGTCAGCCTTGTCTACATAATTAATATAAGGCCAGACTGAACTATATAAGTGGTACGTTGTCTCAAAAAAAAAAAAAAAAAAAATCCTCTACTGAAATAAACAGTCCTCTGTTAAAGAAGATGTGTGATCAGAGCTCAAACTGTCTGACCACTTCGTGCATTTAAAAATTAGTGACAATAGCCTTGATCCGCAGTTGAAGGCCATGACTGTCTGCATACTAATTTGACATTTTCAGGATGTCACTGGAAAACCAGACCACACACCTTCAGCTACACAACAAACGTATTACCAGCCTGCTCTCATGATTCCTTCCACACATTTAAAACTTTGCAGAGGCGGCCAGATCTAAAACAGGGATGGGTTTCACAAAGAAAGAGGACGTGCCTACAACATGCAGCACCACAGCAGGTATTCCTTTTTTTTTTTTTTTTTTAATTGAGAAACAAATATCATTGAGACAGTTTCAAAACTGATTAATAGGACAGTTTCAATAATTAACAGATTGTACAATGTTATCTTCTTAGTGGTTATCTGTAGTACAAGATGCACAGAATATCCTGTCCAAACACTATTAGTACAAAACTTTCTTCGCATTCAATTAAGCAAAAGTAGCTGATTATCTATCCTAACTATTCTGCATATACAGATACAAAATGGTCCTTCCTTTGTATCTCCTTTTTTTGTTTAGTCCTATCAGAGATGGGTATTCCACTGGCATCCAATACTATAGGTACGTGAATTCAGCAAAACAATCCAACACAGTCCAGCCATCCACAATAGTAGTGGGTTATCCACAGAAATTGTTGACTTGAGCCTTTCACAGCTCAGCATATTAACATGGCACAGCAGGTATTCAATACAAAAGGTTAAAAGCATTAATCTGCTGTCATATAGCAAAGAAAGACATCAGCCTCCTAAAAATCTCACCAAAAATATACTTCACAGCTTTCACGTTTTTACCTTTAATCTGAACAACTTCATCAATATCTCATAAAGCCTACGAAGTTTGCCTGCAGCCTTTTTTTTCTTTTCTGTTTTCCTTCTGACTGTCTACTAGTATATGTGTCAGGAATCGGGTGGGGCTTTATATATACATTGTCCCATATGGCCCTGCTTATGGTCTTCTCTAGGAGTTAACAGTGCTAGAATCAAAATGACCTCATCACTAATTTACATTATTTGAATTTCTCCCCACCCCATGACAATGTAACTCCAAGATCCTTGCCTTGTATGAAACAATTATTCGTACTATGAAATCTTAAGACTAGTGCACAATTATTTATAAATGCCTTTTATTCTTTGAATACTTTTAAGAAAGATCAGACTAAGCATAAAACAAACTTTTTTTAAAAGTCAAGGCTGGGGCTGGTGAGATGACTCAGTGGTCTAAAGCACATACTTAGAACAAGCTTAGCAAAGCACAGGGACCGCAGTTCAATCCCCCAGCACCACATGCCAGCCAGCCCCGCCCCCTGGTGGGCTGAGCTGGCCACACACACACACACACACACACACACACACACACACATAAATAAATAAATAAATAAAATAAAAAAAAGATAAAAAAAATTAAAAAATAAAAAATAAAAGTCAAGGCTGACAGTCCAGACACTGAGTCAGGAGGAAGAGAGCTTGAGGCCAGCCTTGGCTAAATAGTGAGACTCTAGTTCAAGGAAATGTCAACACTAAGTATTTAGGGTCAACAGAGAAACAGAGGTCAAGTCATATCGATGCTCAACTATAAATCACAAGAAAAAGTCACTTTATACACTAAGATTATGGCTGTACCATGCAAGATTAAAAAAGTACATTAAAAAGTAATTTTAGGACTAGGGAGATAGCTCAGCAGTCTAAGCACCTGCCTCATAAGCACAAGGACCCAGGTTTGATCTCCGGTACCACACGCTGGGGGGTTGGGGAGCACAAGCCAGCCACTGTATCCAAGCCTGGGGCGCACACCTGTAACCTGAGCACTGGGGAGGCTGAGACAGGAGAATTACTATGAGTCTGAACTACATAGTGAGACCCTGTACCAAAAAAAAATAAAATAAAAAAGTAATTTTATAGGACACCACAAATATTTTAATACATGAGTCAACATAATATCTGATTCAATACTGAGAGATTTTAAAAATTCCTTTGTAACTGGCCCTTTCTCTTTTGCAGAACTGAGGCTGAACCCAAGACCTAGTGCATGCTACGTAAGCACTCTACCACTGTGCTACATTCCTAGCCCCTTTTAAAATTCTTTTGAGATGATATCTCACTAAGCTGCTGAGCCTGGCCTCTAACCTGAAATCTCCCTGATTCAGTCTCCTGATTTACTTGGGTTACAGGCATTTGTCACCACTCTGGCTATTAGCTGGCCTTTAAACCCAAAGAAAATGCTAAAGGTCACTGTAGTCTTCCCCTGATAATTCAGCAAAGTAAAACAGGGCAACAGAAATTCATTTCAAGATGAAGGAGACATGTGCACACACAAAGAACATCAAGACACATTGCATCTGTCTCAAAATCTAAAAATATCTAGTGACCTTACCTGTCTCTGAAATGTAGGTAACAGGATCCTGTCGTAAAATTTTACCAGGTTTAGACAATGATACTTTCTCTGATTGTTTTTTGGCATTTTTTACCTGCACTGTCTCCTCTGCCTCTGAATCTGTATGAGAAAGGAAAACAAAATCTAAAAAGAAGTACTGTAACATTTTTTTCATACCTCCCTCCACACAGACTTGGTACTGAATCCAGAGGACTGGGGACTGAAACCAGGGCTTCCTCTCATTGAGATTCATTGAGATTCACCCCCAGCACTTTTTCACTCATTTGACTGACTTTCTTTAATTTTGAGACAGGGTCTTGCTAAATTGTTGTCAGTTGGTCTTGAACTTGTGATCTTCCTGCTTCAGCCTCCCAAGTGCAGGGGCCACCACACCTAGCTCAGTACTTCTTTGTTGGTTTGTTTCTTTCACACAGGGGTGTCTGACTATGCAATTCAAGCTGGCCTTGAACTCACAGCAATGTTCTTGCCTCAGCTTCCATAGTGCTGGGATGCCATGCCCGGGCCACCATGCCGAGCGGGCTCAGTATATTTCTAAGTAGTTATTATATATCAGTTCCTCAGGATCCCTCTCAAAGCACATCTCTTGTGAACTTTATCAAGAGATGTACTAGCTTCCTACTGCAGCTGTAACAAATCACCAAAACTTCAGTGGCTTAAAACACAAATTTATCATCGTAGCAGTCTAGAGGTCAAAGTCTGATGTAGGCCTCACTGTATAAACATCAAGGTCATAGCGCTGTGCTCCTCACTGATTGCCCTGGGAGTAATCCACACCCTTGACTTTTCCAGGCGCTGTCGGCACCCCCTAGCACATTGCCCCTTCCTCCCCTTCCACTGCTATCTCTCCTTCTCCAACACTCCACAGATTGAACCTTTCTCCAGAAGCTCTTCTACCTCCCCAGCTCTGCACACACTGAGTCCACTTGAAAAGCCCAGAATAAACAACCTTTTTTTTTTTTTAAATTTCAAATGCACCTTTTATTTCCCCTTGTTCTGTAATATAACTATGCACAGGTCCCAGGAATGGGTGTGGAGATCTCTTGGCGGAGGGGATCACAACTACATAATTGCCCAGTGTACTTAATATATACCAGGACAGGGGCTGGGGGGATAGCTCAGTAGAGTAAGGCTTCCCTGGCAAGCGCAAGGGCCTGAGTTCAATCCCTGGTTCTGCCAAAAAAAAAAAATTATATCAGGACAAGGTGTAAGCACCAAGCATAGCTTGTGTCTAGTATAAAATAGACATTTTGCTGGGTGTGGTGGCACACACCTGTGATCCCAGCACTGGGAGGCTGAAGCAAGAGGACTGCCACAAGTTCAGCCTGGACTACATAGTGAGTTCAAAGACCAATCTACACAGCAAGACACTTACTGCTTGTGTCTAGGTGTCCCCCTAAAGCTTCATGCAGTCTTGGAGGAAGGGGGTTCTAAAGTCTGTGATTAATTTATGACCCAACGCTGGGATTATGAGCGTGAATGCTATACCCAATAGCCTGAATACAGTGTAAAGAGGGGAGAGAGGCTTGCTAGCAGCCACAGCTGTGGCTCTTCACTTTACTCTTTGCTGTTTTCCGCTGCAATAAACGGCTGCCCTCTGCCATGTGCCACTCTGGCTTGGAGCCAGATGAGTATAAACTGAAACCTCCACAAACTGTGAGCTAAATAAACCTTTCCTCCCATAATTTTGGGTGTCAGGTATTTTGTCCCAGCAACAAGAAAAAAGTGAGACAAATGCATGTCAGAAAACAAAAACAAACAAAAAGATGTTTCATAAATTCACTCTTGAGGATTAAAGTGCCTGCTTAGGCAGACTCAGGGGCCAGGGATTCGATCCCTGGTATGCAGTGCCAGCCCTACCCTCAGGGTGCACTAAGAGGGCAAAGGAGACTGGGCGTGCGATGCACACCTATAATCCCAGCATTTGGGAGGCTGAAAAACAGGAAGGATCACTACAAGTCTGACTTGTGTAGTGAGACCCTGTAGACCCTGCACTAAAATACATTAAAAAACAAATAAAAAATAAAATAAAATTACATATCTATATTTTCTTCTTCTTGCCCTATACCATGCACTTCTAGATCCTGTCTCAAACTGTTCTAAATTATAATGAACAATTAAATTGCCAGTATTTCAGTGTCGTAGTGATGCATGTCTGTAATCCTGGCACTCAGGCAGCTGAGGCAGGAGGATAACGTGAGTTTGAGACCAAAGCCAGCCTGGACTGCACAGTCAGTTCAATCAAGGCCAGCCTAAACTACATAGTGACATCTTGTCTTAAATCCACACCAAAATTTAATTAATTCACTAAAATTACAGAACTTAAAAATTGCCAGTTCCTTTTTTTTTTTTTTTTTGCAGTACCAAAGATTGAACTCAGGACCCTGCGCTTGCCAGGCAAGCATTTATTCTACTGAACTATCTCCCCAGCCCTCCAGTTCTTTTTTTAGATAGTATCATTAATACAGAGTTTATACATATGAAATGTATTTCATAGTTTCTTTTTATTTTAAAGGGAGAGAAAAACAAAACCAATATAAAATTTCAAAACAAGATGACAAGAAGTTAACTGTTATTATATTCATATTATTACCTTCAAAGTAGGTGCTCAGATTACAAAATACAGGCATATAAAATTGATCAAATATAAGCATTGCTCCTTTCAATGAACTAGTAGAAATTAATAGCACAATTATCTTAGCTATCCTGTGTGTATATACAGACCTTTTCTTTGCTCCCATCTTTCTTTCCTCTTTTCCCAACCCCAGTTGTTCTTTCCTTTTGAGCAGTTTCTTTTCCTTTCACAGTATCTATTGTACCTTTTGGATTTTATTTACTCTTTCAGTTTCTTAAACTAGGGAGACAAAATGATGTTTACATATGCAAGTCTGGCTTATTTCACTTTATGAATATAGCCTCTCTAATTGCATTTATTTACCTATAAAATTTCTTGTCTCCACAAATAATATTTTTACAGAATTTTTTTAAAAAAGTCTTAACAACCTATGTTTCCATTGGCTACATTTTTAAAGAATTCACACAGAACAGGCCAGGGAGATAGCTCAGTACAAAAAGTGCTTGCATGGCAAGTGCAAGGACCCGAGTTCAATCCCCAGTTCTGCTAAAAAAAAGAATTCACATAGGACAAAAATAAAAAATTAGACTGGGCATGATGGCCCATGCCTATAATATCACAGCACCGAGAAGGCTGAAGCAGGAAGATTGAGGCCAGCCTGGACTACATAGTGACTTCAAGGCCAGGCTGAACTGAGTAATGAGACCTTATCTCAAAAAACAAATAAATTAAAATAAATTTTAAAAGTATAAAATTAAGTTGGATATAGTGGCTCACATCTGGACCTCCAGCTACTCAGGAGACTGAGGCAGGAAGATCATTTGAGTTCATGGCTTCAAGGCCACCCTGAGCAATAAAGCAAGGCTCAGTCTCTAAAACTAAATATAGCTGGTGATATAACTCACTATAAATCACTTGTCTATCATGCCTTCTTTCCCCAGCACCACAAAAAAATAATAAACTAAAATAAAAATTAAGGAGAGGCTGGGCATGGTGGTGTATGATTGTAATCCCAGTACTCACAAGAACACAGCTCAGACAATTTACCAAGACCTTGCCTCAAAATAAAAAATAAAGGGCTAAGGATATTGCTCAATAAAAAGCAGCAGGAGGACTGCCATTCAAGGCCAGCCTGACATACACAGCAAAACCCTGTCTCAAACAAACAAACAAAAACAGAAAGAAAAGTGTCACACAAGATGGATCTTCTCTACAAAAAAGTAAAGCTTACTAGACCAGCCCTTGAATCATTTAGGGCATGCGCAGAAACTGGGTACAGAGAATTGGCCTAGCATTTGCCCTAATCTGATCCCAAACACACAGAAAAATGAACAAATAAGTTCTATTCAAACTGTATGAGACATGCTATATACTTTATGTCCCTCTGAATAAACCTTTCATATGTTAATATATTTAGGTTCCAAGTACTCCAGTTCAATAAAATTGTTTTACATTTTACCACAGCTGTTAACATCATAGAGAGTTGTGTGTCTCAAACATCAGTTTGGAAAACAATATCTATGGTATATAAAAGGATTTTTTTTTAAATGTATTTAATACAGGGTTTCACTACATAGATCGGACTCATAGTGTTTTTCCTGTTTTCAGCCTCCCAAGCACTGGGGTCAAAGGATTCTAATACTTGGGAAAGATTTTTTTTTTTTTTTGTGGCTCAGGCTGCCTTAAGGGTGGGTCTGGTAAGGCAGGTGGAATTCAGGATCGAACCATGGTATCCTGCACTAGATTCTAATACTTGAAAAGTCCTCAGAAGAAATATTACCTGAATCATAGATGATCCTCTTTTTTTTGTTTGGTTGCTTTTGTTTGGAGGCATCCTCTTTATAAGAGCTGTTTACCTATAAATATCATAGTATAATTAGAACACAGAGCCAACACAATTGGTTCCTGTTTTTCCCCCATTAGATCCAGACTTAGTGGTTTCCAATCTGGGGCAATTCTGCCTCCCAGGACACATCTTCAATGTCTGGAGATATTTGTATCACAAATAAGGAGCGAAGAAGGTTACTGACATGGAAGAAGTAGACCTGGGAAGCTACTACACATTCTTCAAAGCATTAAGACAGCTCTCCCGACAAACAGCCACCTAGCCCAAAATGTCAACAAAGCTTTAGTTGATTAAAGAATAGTCTAGCCAATCATTAGTCTAGCCATCACAACAGGATGAGGGGAAAAAGTAGAAGTTATTACTCCAATCCACCTCCACACAAACCTATGTATGACAAAGGGTAGAAGGATATCAGGTATTAACAAATTTACTAATTGATTAGTAAATTCAGTGAAACCCTGTCTCAAAAAAAGAAAAAAAAGTATAAAGTCTGGGGATGTAGCTCACTGCAAAGGTCCTCAGTTCAATCCCAAAAAGAAACTGGGGTGTGTGTGTGTGTGTGTGTGTGTGTGTGTAACACATACCTATAATCCCAGCATTTGGGAGTCTAAAGCAGAAGAGTCACAAGAACACAGCTCAGGCAACTTACAAAACCTTGCCTCAAAATAAAAAATAAAGAGCTAAGGATATTGCTCAATAAAAAGCAGTCCCCGCCCCCACCTTTTGTACCAATAACCAAACTCCCCTTGGTGACCTTGCACTTGCCAGGTTGGCACTGCACTACTGAGCTATATCCCTAGCCCCCAACTACAATTAAAAAAAAAAAACAACAACTAAGCTCACAGCCCATCACTAAACCAATGCCTATTACAAAGTTAAACCAAAGCAAAAGTTTTACATCGCACTTCTTTAGTTTTAATTTTTTTATTTGTGTGTGTGTGTGTGTGTGTGTGTGTGTGTGTGGCCAGCTCAGCCCACCAGGGAGCAGGGCTGGCTGGCATGTGGTGCTGGGGGATTGAACCGTGGTCCCTGTGCTTTGCTAAGCTTGTTCTAAGTAGGTGCTTTAGACCACTGAGCCATCTCACCAGCCCCTTACATCACACTTCTAATACTCAATTTTTCCCAAAAAGCCTCAAACCACAAAATACTGATTATAATCAACTAAAGGTAAGAATGTAAGCTTTTTCTGCCCATTATAGTAAAGCTTCAGAAACATACGCTCAATCAGCTGGCAATAAGATGGAACAAATGAACCATTATAGTTTATATACACCACGGGATTGGCAGACAAGAGTTAGAGGCAACCACAATAACTCAAAAATGAGCTAAGACTGTATTTCAAAAAGAAAAGGAGGGCCAGGGATATAGCTTGGCAGCACAGCACCTGCCTGTAAGCGCAAGATCCTGAGTTCTGGGCCGGCCAAATAGCTCAGCTGGTCAGGGATTCAATCCCTGGGCCTGCCAGGCCAGCCCCGCCCCTGGGGCACGTTGAGATGGCAATTGAGACTGGGCATGGTGGTGCATGCCTGTAATCCCACCTCTTGGGAGGCTGTAAAAAGGTGGATCACTACAAGTACGATCTAGTAGTGAGATCCAGAACACCCTGTAGACCCTTCCATAAAATAAAACAAAGGAAAGTAAAATAAAATACACTTGAGTTCAATCCCTGGTAGCAAAAAAAAAAAAAAAAACACAGAAGGGACTTTCAAATTCTGCCTCTATACTTTGTACAAATCTCATGCGTTCTCCCACACAATGTATATGGGATAATGGAATAACTCCTAGTGTTTAGCTAAGATTACCCCTCAGGACATAACACTGGGTTACAACTACCCATCCCACACTTTTCTACTGTAAACTTACATTTTACCATAATAGCAGCCAGCTATAGATCTCAGCAATTGTGCCTAGGGAGTACAGGAAACAATCTTCCTGCCTACCCACTTGGTATGCCAATCAGTAAGGTGAATGCACGTGTGCAAAGTGTCAAGCTGGGATTTCTACCAACATCATGCTCAACAGATTTTGTACACATTACCTGAGCATTACAGAGGGTAAATACACCCACACTACTCTTGTGTTCTATCAACATGTATTTTTACCATAAACAGATAAAGGTATTTTTATGTCATACTTGACTAGTAGAACAAAATAGCCATACAACCAAATACAATGATCCAATGTCAGAACTAGGTCCAAAAATACAGTGAGGGTTTTGGCAGGGGCGAAACCTATCAGACCAAATGCCAGCACTGCCATTCATGTTGGAAACTGAAACAGATAAAATACTAAAAGATGCTGTGAAATACACACAGGATGAAAGGACCAACAGCCATATTTAAGAATGTATTTATTATGATACCTCAGGAGCTGAACTGAAAGCATTCATAAGTCTGCTGTATTTAGCAGGGTTTTCTCATGGTAATAGCATAAACGTAAAAGACTTAGGGAAAAGCAATGGGTGTAGGGCTGGTGAGATAGCTCAGAGGACTAAGCGCCTGCTTTGGCAAGTGCAAGGATCAGGGTTCAATCCCAGGTCCCACTGCCCCCAACTCCGCCCCTGGGACTCACTGAGCCAGCAGAGTCCAGGCATGGTGGCACATGCCTGTAATCCCAGAGCTGGGGAGGCTGAAACCAGGAGGATCACTACCAGTCTGAGCTGCACAGTGAGACCCTGTACCAGACACATAAAATGGGGAGGAAAAAAAGTTTAAAA